GAGGAAAGGATAGTGGGAAAGCTCTGCATTGACTTACGCCTTGTTGCATATAACTTAACCAACTGTGCATTTGTGCTATACGGTACGGCCTAAAAGATACCAGGAGACAGGAAACACTGGGATGGGTGACTCAGTTCAGGGCAAAACTAATACAACGAACAAAGATGCAATTATATTAATTCTGTCTTGCTTTGGGATTTTCCTGATTTCTCATATATCAAACAGGGAAACAGTATTTTACTCATATACAACTTGCTTCCTGTCTTTAGAATTTACCTTACTATGCTCCCATCTGCCCAAGGCCCAATAATTTGAAATTTCGCTGCATAGAAATGATAATTGTTCAGTAGGACCACAATAGGGGACTGCAAAATGCTGGTGTTCTGAGCTTTCTATAAGTTTTCAAAGAAAAATGTATACCTTGGTATAATTAAGCAAGATTTAATATTCCATCAAAATTTATCACTTTAATTTTTATTTTTATGTTTTAATCTTCACTTCTCATACACACACCAATTTTTTTACATATACATAGAAAAGTATAACATATTTGAAAGTTATGGACCTGAGGTATCTAATATATAAAACATTAGCAATATATGGTCTAGTAATTGATATATGCCATAATACATAATAAAAACCAGATTCTGAAGACCTTGTCAAAAACTACAAAATATTTCATGAATAATTCTATATTGATTACACTTTGAATAATGTTTCAAATATACTTTGTAAAAGAAGATACGATGATTGGGACCAGCAGGTGGCATGGTGGTCAAGGTGCTGGACTCCCACATGGCTGACTGAAATCTGAGTCCAAGACCAGGGCTTGAAATTCACAATGTGTGCATGGGCACGTGTGCCTAAAGTCCCAAGAGGATAATGGAAAAGAGAGTGTGGTGTGACCAAACCTCTTGGGGGGGTGATCTGCCACTTTCCCTCTCTCTCTGTCTCTCTCTGGTGAGTGCATTCACCCAAAAATCTTTCCAAAAAAAAAAAGAAGAAAAGAAAAAAGAAAAGAAAATATATATGATGACGACTAATGCTTTTTAATTTTTATTTATTTATTTTTTAATTTTTGGAGAGATTTTTGCTAAAGGGCACATGCGCTCACCAGACAGAGAGAGACAGAAAGTAAGAAATCACCCCCAGGGGAGGATGGCCACGTAGCAATCCCTTCTCCTCCATTCTCCTCTCAGGATCATGGGCACACATGCACATGCACCCAGCGTGAGTTTTAAGCCACCGGGTCCAGGACTTGAACTGCGGTTGACTACATGGTAGTCTAGTGACATAGACTTTGCACTAACTGCTGTTCCCAATTTTTTTACCTTTTTATCTTGGCTACAAGAAAATATAAAATTAGATATGAGATTTGCATTACATTGAACTATTGAACAGCACAAATATAAATACTTAATTGTAAACACAATAAGGATATTCCTATAAGTAAGCAGAAACACTCTGGAAATCCTAACTCAATCCCCATTCACCATAAGTGATTTACTAAACTTTATTTTTCTTTCTTTTTAACTTGAAAGAATGTGTGTGTGTATGCTCACTGGAGAGAGAGAGAGAGAGAACACTTTCCATGGGGAATGGCTACACTACAAACCCTTCTCCTCTATTTCTCCCTCCTTTCTAGTCTTGGGCCCAAATGCACACACACATGCCCAGTGTGCTTCTCGAGTCGCTAGATCATGGCATTATTTATGGGCCATCATTTTTAGATATGCTATTTAATAAAGCATGGCTTTCCTTACCTTGGTGAACCGATTGATGATCTGGCCTATGGGACTGGTTTCAAAAAATTGGAGTGGAAGGTGCAGCACGTTATTCAGTAGTTGGACATACAAGGTTCGAGAGGCAGCCAGGGATCCTCTGGTAAGGACATACACTCCAGAACAGACAAAGAGACCTAAGCACACATTGTTATGAGAATCATAATGGCATCTTTTATTATTATGAAGGTACATGCACTTGCAGAAGAGAGAGAGAGAAAGCGAGAAAGCGCCCTCATGGGGGATGGCCATTTTGCCATCCCTTCTCATTTCTCCTTTCAAGGTTTTGGTATGTACACACAACCATTCAATGTGTTTTTTTTTTTTTTTCAAGACACTGGATTCAGGACTCAAACCTTTAAATTGGCCATGTGGGACTCAGCCATGGCCCCAACCACCACCCATCAATTGACCCCATGTTAACATCTTTTTTTTTTTTTTTAAGGTTTTTGCCATAGGGCACGTATCAGAGAGGCAGTGAGAAAGGAAGAATTTACCCCCCAAGAGGGATGACCATGCCACAATCCTTTTTCCACTCTCCTAGGATTTTGGTCATGCATGCATATACACCTATTGTGACTTTTAAGCCCCTGTATCTGGGACTCAGATTGTAGGTGGCCATCTGGGAGTCCAGTGCCTGAACTACCACACCACCTGCTGACGCCCCATGATAACATCTTACACTGTTTTGTTTTAATTCTCAAAGGTTGTTTATAAAAGCATGTATTCCTCATTGAAAACCCAAATATCATACTTTAAAAATATGTCATCCTGAACCAAACTAGGTTAAATATATACAATGCATTGGAAATAGACCCCTCAGATGATTTGCCATGCTACCAGAGCAGAGCTCTCCTCATTCAAGTTCATGGGTTTTGTGCAGAAATGAACAGATAATAAGAGATCAATTTGACTCATGAATTTTAGCAACTATTAACTTTATGATGTCTTGTAGGAACAAGTGCTAGTCACTAACGCTGTTAGTCAAAAGGTGTGAGTTTTCCTACATTCTAGGAACTTGGTGGAGTTTTTGGCACGTTTTGTGGTTGATGAGACCAAATAAATCATTCTTAACAACGAATCATAAGAGAAAGAACGTCTGACACTCTTGTTTTACAGCATTTGCTTACATCAGGCCTGTTACAGCTCGTGTTCTACTACCAAATGGTAATTAGATTACTCTTTTTTTAAAAATTGTATTTGAATATATGGTGATCTTTACTTACAACTTTACTAGCTTGCTCTTACAATGTGAGTACCTAGGAGAAGCAGGTACCCCTGACCTACAAGGGACACATGGGCTTGAGCAAGGACTAAACATCTGGTGTGTTAGACAGCTGAGATTTGTTCACTGGTTGTCCTCGCAATTTCCCTTTGCAGCTTTAGTGGAAGAGATTGGAGAGCACTTCCTGGCACCCACTGATGATTGTTAGCTGCATTTGACAAAGTATCACAAGGAAGAGAAAAGCTCAGGAAAAAAAATCTACCCAATGTAAGAAAAAATAGAAAAAGGAATCTCCACATTGGGAAGCCTGTAGGAGGGGAAGAAAAAAATCGTGTTACGCTGATTAGTTCAGGGTGGTATGTGACCCAGATTATCTCAAGCCAAGTAATTTCATTGACTTCCATGGGAGGAAGTTCTTTCAAAGACATTCCTGTCTGTCATTGCATAAAGCCTGAGAATGAAACCATTGACAAAAATAAGTAGAGTCGATAAACTGAGGGTTGTGGACACTTTATTTGAGCCTCTGGATCAAATGTGTTTAAAGATCTATGCCTGCCCTTTTCGGTTTTGGATATCGGTAAATTTACGTTACTTAAGCCAATTTGCTCTAGAGTCTTAACAGGCATATAATTGCTCCATTGAACTAATTTACAAAATTTCTAATAAAAGCATGTTGCCAATGTGATCCTTATTCCTTTGTAGGTATCATGTTAAAACAAAACAAAACAAAACCAGATGACCCTCACCGCCTTAAATTCTTTTAGCTAGTTTCTTTATATTACATTTTAAGCTAATATCATATACTATTATCTTATTCCTCATTCTCAAATCTTTTTTGTTATTTTCTTTTATCCCTTTCGCATGTTTTTTTCTTTATCTTATTCTCAAATAAATATTCAGTGTTTATACTACTACTAAACACATTATTCATAAAGTTCAGTAAGTTTGTAGTGCCTGTGCTATTTTTCCCATATGTTCAGTTTTCTATGCAGCTAGCACTCATTTATTCACAAACTCTTCAATAGCCAGCAAGTCCCCTCTGAATATATTCACACTCATCACATAGTCTATTGTTTCATCTGATTTAGCCTCTCTCTGCAACGCCAATTTATCCTCTTGGAACTCTCTTTCTTTTGTAAACTAAAATGGTTGCTGGAACAGGCATTTGAATTCTTCAGTTTGGGAAAATATTTTCACATATTATATACTTGACACTTTTGTCTTCATTTACTAAAACCCTTTTTTATGTGAACATTGAACTTGGATTGTTCTTCTTATTTATTTTACCTATTATTTTCTGTCTTTATCATTGATGTTCACACTGGGGATAATTTCTTCTAAAATACCTCTTTACAATTGCATAATCTTTTAAGTCTAAATATTTTAAAGAATATTTTGTTCTCAGGTTGAACTTATTTTAGCACATCTGGACTTACTTTGTGGATGCAATATTTTTAATCTCTGAAATTATTAATTGGACTTTTTTTAAAGATCTAATTCTATTCTGGATACTTTTGTTTTTTAGGTGCTCTTGGCTGCTCTATTTGTTGACTCGTATTTGTGCTGTTGGTTTGGCTAAAGTGTAGGACCATCCATCATTGCCAGTGTGATAATAGGAGGGCAGGAAAGGACTGGACAGTGATGCGGTAGTAGATTGAGACACTCCACAAGGCTAGCCCACAGAGGAGCTTGCAGGCTCACACCCAGAGACCTTCCTGAGTTCATGATGCAGGGCTGGCTGGAGCAGAGGGTGGATGACGGCATTGAGATCTTGTTGGGGATACTGTGTCTCTCTCTGTCTTTCTCACTTATGGGAAAAAAAATAAACTTGAAACAATACATAAGGGAAAGACATAGTTAATGTATTTTTCTTTTTGAGAGATTGTTGCTGTAAGGCACGTGTGCTTACCAGAGACAGAAAGCAAGAAATCACCCCCATTCCCCCCCCAAGGGGATGGCCACACTACAATCCCTTCTCCTCCAGTCACCTTGCAAGATCTTGGGCATGCACACATATCTGCCTGGCATGAGTTTCAAGCCACTGGATCTGGGACTCGAATTGTGGTCAACTATGTGGGAGTCCAGCGACATAACCATTATACTATCTGCTGGTCCCAAGACATAGCTATAATATAAGTACCTGATACTGTTTTTTATTTTTTTCCTTCCATTTCATATGTTAATGTCCATCAGCATTTCTCTCATTTGAATAGAAAGGCTTGCTGTAAGTTCTGCTTAAGTGGGTAGGTATGATCTCTGAAATTTCTGAAATTCTTCATATTGGGATCCAGACACACAAGCAAGCAGAGGCTTTACCAAAAAAAAAAAAAAAAAAGTGTGTGTGTGTGTTTCTTCTTCTTCTATGTATTGCACACACACACTGGAAACTAATTTTCTCTCTAAATATCAAGTTTCTGATTTCCAGAGGCCTGCTACTGTGTTTATTCATTGTTGGTGGGGGTGGGGGTTGCTGGAGAGGCTGACTGACCAGCAAAACAGTGCTCTCGTGAATTACTTTGATGACGTCCATGCCTCTCAATTCTGCATTCTGTACATGCGACCACCAGTGTAGCATTTTTCCATGGCTGGACTGAACATCTCCTTCTTATGTTTCATTCTCCCCAGTATTGTATCTGCTCCTGGCTACAGATTTTTTACCCTTGATTTTCTATCAGTGTAATCACTTGTATAGAAATTTATTACTCTGAAATCTCTTGAAGCCTTTACTTTTATATTTATCTACTATCTTCTCAGTGTGATTTTGTGAGGTAAGTAAATGATTCACTCAGCCATCTTAAACTGGGAGCAGCAGCGTACTCCTTAAACATTATACTTCGAAAACAAGGTGCCAATACTTTACACATTGCATTGAAAAAAAGGAAGGTCCCAACAGTGAGGCATAAAACATAATGTATTAGGGATGTGCAGAGTATCCTAGAGATTTGAAAGCAAATAGCCGAAACACAAGGAAAAAATACTCAAGGCTATTTCTTTTTTAGAAAAATGATGTAAAGTTATAAAATATAAATGTAACATTTTCTGCTTCAGTACTCCAGTTTTGTTTGAATGTTAGCCTTCTAGATTATTCATAGTGGTCCTCAAGTACACATTAGCCTGTGGAAGTGCTGTTTATGATGTAAAGTTTAAAAACGGTAAACTATTGGGTAAGCTGAAAAGTCATGATGCATTTTTGCACAGAAAACAAAGAAAATATGCCATGACTTTTCCAAAGACCCAATATAATGATGCCAGTGAATATACTCTGCTCTTGATTGGATGAGGTTCTGTAAGGTGTGGTCTGCTAAAATAAAAAATAAGAAATGATAGATTTTCATTTCTTAGTCTCATCTTCATTATTATTATTATTCATTGCTAATTTATGCTTTGTCTGGATACAACTCTAATTATGTCACAGCTCTCCTCAAAACCCCAAGTCCCCACTTCCTTTCCAGCTATCATTTTCAAATTTCCTTCCAACATTTAGTTCCTCTTCTGCCTACAAATAACCTAAACACCATTCATACCTCACTTTTGCCCAACTCCAGTCTCACTCCCCATCCTGCTGTTTTCTCACACCTTTCAGTCTCCTCTGTTACCTTCTCTTCTCTGTGATCTCAATCTGACAAAATTCTGTTCACCCCTTTAGAGTCCCTTTAAATGCCAAATTTCTTTAGAAAGCATATTATTCTTGCAACCAAATACGACCTTCTCCTATTTTGAATCCTCACTCTGCTCTCTTATACTACTTTTTTTTCCCCTAGAGTGACTGCACTCACAGACAGAGATGAAGAGACAGTGAGAGGGAAATCGAGAAATCACCCCTCAGAGGGATGGTCAAGCCCAATTCCTTCTCTTCCATTGTCCTCCAAGGATTTGGGGGACACATGCATATGTTAACCCAGCATGATTTTTCAAGCAGCCAGGTCTAGAATTTAAAACACCATTGGTCATATGGGAGTCCAGTGCCTTAACCACTACACTACCTACTGGCCCATCCTTTGCTACTTCTATAGCACATAGTATTTACCATAGTTTGTGCTATGACCTAGGCATCATTTGGTTTTGAAGTCCTCAAATCCCTCACGTCTTGGTCTTCCCCTCCCTCACAGTCCTCACATATACAGAGAATGGCCATGCATCAAGTCTTTTGAATCCCTCAAAAGCTTTGTTTCCCCAGCTGTGAAATGGGGACAATAGCACCTTTCTAAATAATTAAGGTCAAGATTAGATGAGATGAATATGTAAATTATTTCATGTGTGGCATGTAGCTGACATCTACACATTTTAGTTTACTCTCTCAAAATGATAAAGTGAAAACATACACATTTGAATTTTGCCCAAATATTTGAAAATTATGGCATAGATTTTATTAAAATAACATGATGAACATGATGCCATAAGCTTGCATCTGAATCAATTAGGTCGGAATAAGAAGAGGGGTTGGGTTTTTTGTTTGTTTGTTTGTTTGTTTACCTTGAATGAATCCCAGTAATCCATAGATATTAAGTTTATTGCTTCTTATTTTCTTCCACTCTGAGAACTCACTCGTGTGTTTTGCTTCTTTTGCCCAGGCACTAAGCCATAGATTTTGTCCAATGCTCACCAGATTCTGACCTACGTAAGTGGCCACGACCAGCCACACCCACAGCCAGCCAAAGGCTTCCAGGTACTTCCGAAGGATGGAAAACTTCACCTAAGGGCAAAGTTGACATAAAGTTAGCTTTTTGAGAAGTACTAGAAAGTGGCAGTTGTAAAATAAGTTTTATTCTAGAATACCATTCCTGCATAAGCTTCATTCCTGACAGTTTCTGATTAACATTAATTAAATAAAAAGCATGATATACGACTTGCAAACTCTAATTTAAAGTTAGGTCATCTAGACTGAAATCCTGTTCTGATATTTCCCAAGCCTTATGATCTTGGTCAAGCTACTAACTCCTCTAACCCTCAGATTATTCATCTATAAATTGGAATAATAACAGTAGTTTTTTTATAAGTACACTTAAAAATGCTCAATTAATGTTAGTCACTGCTAGTAATAAACAAGAATATGCATAACTTAAGAACATGTAAACCTAACTAAATATCACCAAACATGTCATTTACTATCACTAGACATTTAATTTTTGCAGACTATCATTTAACAACCCTCCTCAAATTAAATGAAAAATCTATAGTGTTTATTAATAATGCAATGTAATCTCTATTTAGATGATGCATTATAAATAGCAATAGTCCTTCCTGTGCTTACCCCTCCAGTAGGGATCCTTTCTTTTTTCATTGAGAATTGTTTTCCTTGATCGAAGGAGGCCCTAATTAAGAAAGACAATATTCACTTTTTAAATTTTAGATTAACCAAACTTTTTTTTAAAGTTACCCTTTCTTAATCATGAGACTGATGGTAACACTGGCCTTTACTCTTACAAAAGGGACACTGTTCTCTCATATCCTACATAATTTAGGGCTGGGGCATGTTTTCTGATTTTTTTTCATCATTTCTTCTAAACACTATCCCTCAAACTTGAGCTTAGGCCCTGAGGCATTAAAGCTAATGCCATCTGTCTACACCCCACTCTAAGCCTCTCATCGACTTACCTCCTAGCATGTGGAGAAACTAGCATCAGATTCATTCTTCTGATTTTGCACTGCCACCGTCCAGGGTATCACCATGGTGAACATGGACGACTGTATCAAACTCAGTCTCTTTCCAATTTCACGACTTTCATACTCCCAGGATCCTTCATCTTTATTCTACTTTGGCCATCAACTTGCATGATATCAAACCATAACTCTTATTACCTGGAACCCATCCATGTTTGAAACCCCAGCTTGAACTATTTCAGTGTCTACCAGCAACCTTCTTGTTCTTCTCTTTGTAAGTTGTAAGCTCAGTCGTGTTCATTAAATTAGTTTTTTATTGCATTTAGATTCCCAGTTCCCTAATCAAGCTTTCTATCAGCTCTGCCCTCTCAGATGATCCATGCTCCTGTTTTACGTGGGATTTTCTTGCTTTTAGCACTGATTGTCCCACATTCTGGGAAATTCCTCAATTCTAGGCAAACCTACTTCTTCTTTCTATTCTTTTCATTATCCATCCATTTTCTTTATTAATATTCTGAACCCCCATACTGTAGCTTCCTTCCATTAAACCTTCTGTTAGAACTCATGTCAGTTATGGTCACACCTGCTCCTGTGGAATGCTGCTTCACTATATGTATATATATATATATATATATATCAAAGGTGGTTCTATGACAAATTAATGTCTTCCTTCCACCTGGACTTTTTTGTGTGTGTGTGTGCTATAACGTGCATGCATTTGCTGGAGAGGGAGAGGGAGAGGGAGAGGGAGAGAGAGAGAGAGAGAGATAAGGAAGCACCCTCACCCTGAAGGGGAATGGTCACATTGCAATCTCTTCTCCATTCTCCTCTTCTTCTCTCAGGATTTTGGGCACACTTGCACACATGACTGGCATGTTTTTTAAGCCACCAGATTCCAGACTCAAAACACAGTTGACCATGTGGGATCCAGCACCTTAAACTCCATGTCACCTGCTGTCCCTCACCTCTTAGAAGTACCTAGAAATACTTATATCACTCTCAAAAGGGGCTTCACATACCACTTCATGGAGGAAAACAGAGACAGTCAGGAAAGTCAGTCTCTAACCTATACGTTGGAAAAGTCATGACTCATTTTTTCTATGCAATGAGTCATGGCTTTTCTTTTTCTTTCTTTCTTTCTTTTTTTTTTTTGAGAGGTTTTTGCTATAGGGTGCGTGCACTTGCCAGAAAAACAGAGAGAGACAGAAAGCGAGAAATAATTCCCTAGGGGGTATGGCCACATCGCAACCACTTCTCCATTCTCCTCTTGGGGTCTTGGGCATGCACGCACACACACCCAGCATGAGTTTAAGCCACCAGGTCCGGGAATCGAACCACAGTTGACTACATGGGAGTCCAGCGACATAGCCATTACACCGACAGCTGGTCCCAATGACTTTTCTGACAATTCAATACTTACCTGCCTTTTCATTTAGCCTTTTAAAATTCTCTCCTGTAATAAACTCAGGAACTCTTTTCTTAGATCTAAGGATAAATCTGTGACTTGAATATCACTCTGTTCCACTTTCTCAAAATATGTTAATTAATTTTAATGTTTGTACAGTTTCCTGTTAGGAAGAGCATTCTAATAGTGGTGGTTATAAATACAGGTCATAGATTTCTCCTCTTGAAATCTGTCTTTAAACAAATGATTCAAGGAGTTCTTATCTTAAGGCAAGTCTGTCAAACACTGGATTTTTCCTCTTTTCTAATCTTCACCTTCTTCCTTTCTACTGGTTTCTTCCCATCAGTCCAAAGAGAGCAACACATTCTTCTCATTTTAAAATCAATGCCATTACCACATAATACTCTCCCTCTCAATCTTGGTCCTGCTTCAGTCACCATCGTACTTCCTGCTGTAGCCCAACATTTTCTACCAAACCACATTTTCCTTGAATTTTCTGGAATCCGGCTCAAATTATTTTCATCAGGAGCACCAGTAAACCATTTCTTACTGTATTCTTTAGATACTTTGAAATTATTTCACATAAACTCTCAATGGCATTTGTTATAGTTCACTTTCACTTGTCCAGGGCATTCTTCTTTTTACTTCCTTTTACCACTGCACTTTCGTATTTTCTCCCTCGTCTTTGGCCTTCCATTACTTTCTCCTTAGGCTCCTTGCTCTGTCCTCCCCCTTTAATGTTCATGTTTCCTTGGTCCCACGTCTAGTCATTAATCCTTTTATGTTTCAAGCTTTCCTGAGCAATCATATCCACACTCATAGTTTCTATAACTTTCTGTGTGGATGACTCTTGAATCTTTTCCATGTCTCTTCCCTGAGCTCCTGATCCATATGTCACATTTCTACTTGCATCTACTTTGTTTCTTTGCTAGTTTCACACACTTTAAAACAAGTCAGTTATTCTTCTGCCTTCTCTGAACTTTTCTCTAGCTTTGCAAACAGCCACAACACTTCCTCTGTCAAGGTCATGGCACATTTCCAACTAATCATCAATTCTATCTTCTAAATTCTCTGAAATTTTAGTATTAGAGAAATATTTGAAAAATACCAACCATCATAAAGAATAGTAAGGAGAAAGGAAGATGAAGAGGACAAAGAAGAGGAAGAAGATGAGGATGGAAAGAAACAAAGACTCATGGTCCTGTTTCAGAGACAGTCCATACTAATGTGCTTGTGAACATTGCTATTGTCTTTTCTCTACAAGTGAGTTACCAAATGTGACTCTGAAACTGGCATTTAAAAAACTTTACATATGGTCTTTATAACTCAGTATATTGGGTCATCGGAGAACTCATGATGCATTTTTGCATAGAAAAACATAGGAAAATACACCATAAATTTTCTGATGATCCAATATAACACATATAAAATGTTTTTCTATAACAACATTTTATTTTATAACAGCATTATATTTATACAATAACATGCTATTTTATTATTTTACTATAATATGATTTATTTGACAACACTAATGCTTTAAAAACGTGTTACACTTTTTCCTTGTTTTATTTATCGTTGTAATGGTCATTCCATCTGTACATCTCTCATTGTCCCTTTTAATACATCGCCTTACATAGAAGGATGGGATATGGTAAATTCTAAGTCCTTTGATATAACCATGATCAAACTGACCTCTAAGTATACTGTATAGATGTATATACTTCTCAATATATAATGAGAACTCTCATCTTCCCCTGTTTCTCATCATATTTTATGAGCACATCAATTCTTTCCTTCTCATCTCTGGTACTATCATCAAGAAACATTCTAGGGGCCAGCAGGTGATACAGTGGTTAAGGGCTCTGGACTCCCACATGGCAGATGGCAGACCATGGTTTGAGTCTTGGACCTGGGGGCTTGCTCTCTCTCTCTCTTTCTCTCTCTCCCCCCCCACCACCTCTGGTCAAGTTAAAATAAATAAAGTTAAATAAAATCATTTAAAAAAACTTCTGTGGGAGGTTGCAATGCATGCCCTTTGTAGTATTAGCTTCGGCGTCAGAGAAAGATACACTATTTAATAGACACTTTCTTTGGAATAGATCCTGGTATATGATTTGGGTTAATTACTGTCATCATCCTTCAAGCCCTTGGCAGGGCTTCTGTTTGGATAAGCAAATTTAGTGCTGGTGTCAAGCCAAAGAATTAATTTTTAATGTAGCTGGACATAAAATACTATGAAATCCAACTGTTAAAATGGAATTAAACTTCCTAATTAGTCATAACTAACAAACATCAGAAATTTATTAGACACTATACAGAAAGGTAATGCTTTTCTACACTAAAGTGTTTCTTATTTAATGTCTACAAAAATACTACATTGGTTCTGGGAATGTTGTCATCAGTAACAGGTTGTATTTGAGTCCCTTAAAAGAGAAAATTATTTAAATCAGCAGAGAAGTTTTGCAAATGAGTCTTCCTTTGTTCTTCATAAACTCTCAGGAAACTGGCACAATACCCATCTGCATATTTTTGGGTAAAAGATATAAAATCAACATACCAAAACCATTATCCCTAAACAGATCATCCAGTTGTAAGATATAAATTATGTATAGAAAAAATAAAGTGATTGAGAATGTCTAACATGGGGATCAGCAGATGGCTTAATAGTTACATTGTTGGACTTCCATGTAGTCTACTGTGGTTCAAGTCCCAGACCTGGAGTCTTAAAACTCAACACCAAGCACATGTGCCTACATGCCCAAAAAATCCAAAGAGGAAAATTAAGGAGAAGGGACTGTGTTATGGCCATTCCCCTGGGGGTGGGAGTTGATTTCTCATTTTCTCTGTCTCTTTGTTTCTGGTGAGCGCATATACCCTATAGCAAACATTTCTCAAAAAAAGAAAAAAAGTATGTCTGACATGAAAGCATTCCAGATACTAAAATTATATTCCTACTCTGTTTTATTCAGAAAAGACAGATATTTAAGAAAATAAAATAGGGACTAGCAGATGGTGTAATGGTTGTGTCACTGGACTCCCACAGGGCCGACTGCAGTTTGAATCTCAGACCTGGAGGCTAGAAACTCATGCTGGGAATGTGTGCATGCATGCTCCAGATCTCAAGAAGAGAATGGAGGAGAAGAGATTGTGGCATGGCCATGCACTTGGGGCGGGGGGGGGGGGGTAATTTCTCACTTTCTTTCTCTCTGTTTGTGTGTCTCCAGCAAGCACACATGCCCTACAGCAAAAATCTCTCTTAAAAAATGATTAATAGATTCCTTATCAATTTAGGATAAAAAAAGAAAAGTGAAATGTGAAAACAGTTAAAAATATTTTAGTTTTATTAGAAAACTATACTAAGTCATTAACTTTAATTCTTAAATTTCAAAGGAAGAATTTTTAGATATTACTTGATCCATCCCTCTTCCTTTTCATCTCGTTTCTGATGTACAGTTAGCCAGTTTTCCTTCCCATAAGGAGGACTCATTGTATTCTCCACTCATCCCAGTAGAGAGGGGCTCTAACTATTAAAAAGTTCCTGCCTCCTTGAATATTACAATTCCTGGCCTATCTTAACTCTAAGCCAATTGGGAATAATTGAGTAATGCTACAAAACAGAAAATTGGATTGAGAGTCACAAAGATTCTAACCACATAACGTTATCTTATCAAATAGTAAACCAGATAAACAATAATAGCTTGAATAGGAAATAACATAGAAAATAATAAACTAGAGTAGCCAAACATGCATGTATTTTATAAAAAATTTATAATAGTTCTCACAAACAATATTAAAAATGCTTTAATTACTATGTTAAAAAGCAAGAAGAGATGGACATGAGGAGATCGATAGAATTCTCTATGTTCATCCCACAGTGTTCATAAACTCTACAGATGTGAATGATAATAGGCTTTGGATATGAACATTTCACTGTGGCCTGGGATGAGTATTACACCAACTCATGTGACCTACTTGGTGTAGAAGCTGAATCACCTCCTAGAAAAACAAGCGGTATAAAGGAAGTAGGGAAGAAAGGGGATAAAAGGGAGCAGAAGCAGGGCGAGAAAAATAAAAATAGTAAGACTTGGCTTTGTATATTATATACATACATTATATATATTATGTTTAAATTTATTTATTCCTTCTATGAGTGAGAGCCAGAGTAAGACAAAGGGACAGAGCAACAAAACTTCTAGCAAGGTCTTGATGTTCTGTTCCATCTCCAGCTTCTGCCAGCCCCAGATCCTGGCATGCATATGTCTGGCATACACAGGAAGGCCACTGGACTCAAACTCAAAAACTTTCCTAAGTAGGTCAGCTGCATAGAGTGCCACATTTACCTCTGCGCCAACATCCAGCCCCACTGTTGAATATATTTTGAAGATGTAGCCAATGGAATTTGATGACAAATTGGCTATGGAGTAAGAGAGGTCAAGGATGACTGCAGAGTATTTTTGCCTGAGCAATTGGAAGAATGGCTGAGATGGAGAAGATTACATGTGGGGCAGGTTTGTGTGTGCTACGGTGAAATCAATGATTTTGTTTTGAACGTGTTAAGGTAGAGGTGCCATTTGTAATGGAAATCCAAGGGAAAATGCAGGGAGAGTGAGCTGACTATCTGACCCTGGAACTCAGAGCAGAGATCCTGGCTGGGGAAACAAACTTGGAGGTCTTGGTGCATGGAAGGTATTTAAAATAACACGACTGAATGACAATGCCAAGACAGACCAAGGTCTTCATAATCAACACAGGACTATTTAGTTAGCCTACTGGGTCACTCAAATCTGGTGTAGATGTATCTTAAGATAACTTAATTTCCAGGTCTATTTTCTTTAAGGTATAACCTACAACATTCTGAGTTACTGGCTTCTAAAGTGTTTGCTGTATTTATAATCCATCCTCATTCTATATTTTAACAGTTTGGTTGAATGATTGTTTCCTATAACTCTAGGGAGTTATTTCTCTTATTATTCTTTTTCCTATTATTACTCTTTAACTTTTGGTCTTCTGTTTCAGCAACTACTAGAGGAAATATTGGGGAAAATAACTGATTAGAATAAATTGCTTAAGTCATTGCTCATTTTAATTATTTACCAATAAAAAAGCACAATATAATAAAATCTAATCAAAGCCAAGTCTTACTATTTTTATTTTTCTCGCCCTGCTTCTGTTCCCTTTTATCCCCTTTCTCCTCTGCTTCCTTTATACCGCTTGTTTTTCTAAGAGGGGATTCAACTTCTACACCAAGTAGGTCACATGACTTGGCCTGATACGCATCCCAGTCCACTACGAAATGTTCATGTCCAAAGCCTATTATCATTCACATCTGTATAGGCTGTGAACACTGTGGGATGAAGATATTTTTGACATAAAAATAATCAAGTTGAATTTCTACTACCAGAATTTGGCTAGAAACAGCTGAGAGTCTAATGAGTATATGAGCATATGTTTCCAGAACTAAGTCACATCCATCTCACTTAAAAATTTAGACACATTCATCTCATTGGCAACCAATAAGCATATTTTATATCCATTATATAACTTTTTTTAGTATAAATATTAAATGATACAAAAATGCAATTAATGAGTTTATAATTCTAGTGAGCATGGTATGGTCCTAATACTCACCTATGTTTTTGCTCCAGGATCTGGTCTTTCAGTATAGTTCTGGAGCTGATTACACTGTTTGGCTTTAAAACATGAGCTGGAGAGGGAGAGGGTGAGTGGGTTTATATCTGTATAAGCAAATAATTTACAAGACAAGAGAAGTGTAGTAAAGGATTACACAAACTGAAGAGGTTTTCAAGTTCTGGCTCCAAGTATGTTAGGAGACTTTTCATTTTCTCCGCTATTTATTTTTACTTCACCTAAAATGTCTTGTAATATCTTAAAACTAAGATTTTATAACTTTTTACAGAGAAAAATTGTTTTGGACATTAGAGAGAGGTGCTAACTTGGATCTTCCAAGAAGAGCTAAGTATTTGCAAAGAGAAACATGACTCTAACTTTAGAAGAACAAGGTAATTTCAACAATCCTTGTACGCAAATGTGATTATTGTGAAGATTAGTCGGGCGCATGTGCGTGCGTGCGTGCCCAAGATCCGGAGAGGAGAATGGAGAAGGGATTGTGGCGTGACCATCCTCCCTGGAGAGTGATTTCTCACTTTTTGTCTCTGTCTCTCTCTGTCTGGCAAGCGCACATGCCCAATAGCAAAAAACAAAAATAAACAAACAAAGAAAACCCCAAAAAACAAAAACCTCTTAAAAAAAATAAGATTAGTAAGAAAACACAAATTCCCCAAATGCATTATCTTCTTATGAATATCTCTAATAGTAATAATAGCTTCCAATGGGAATGGGTCAGGCACTGATCTAAGGGCTTTAGATAGATAGACTCTTTGAGGAAGGTATGATAGTAACCCCTATCTTAGGAGTAGAAAGATTGAGACAGGGAAGTTAAGCAAGTCTCACAAACCAAGGCCACACACCTACAACTACCAGATTATAAAGTTCAAGTAATTGTTCGTGAATTTGATGGTAAACAACTCAGAGCTAGGTAGATTTTTGTCTTTTTCACAGTATGATACTCAAACTTCTTTAATTTCAAATTTCTCATCTTCAGAAGGAAGCAATCAGACTTGAGTTGTCCTAATGTCTCTTCTGTTGGGTCAATGGAAAAGTCATGACACAGCTTTGTACAGAAAAATAAGTCACATCCATCTCACTTAAAAATTTAGACACATTCATCTCATTGGCAACCAATAAGCATATTTTATATCCATTATATAACTTTTTTTAGTATAAATATTAAATGATACAAAAATGCAATTAATGAGTTTATAATTCTAGTGAGCATGGTATGGTCCTAATACTCACCTATGTTTTTGCTCCAGGATCTGGTCTTTCAGTATAGTTCTGGAGCTGATTACACTGTTTGGCTTTAAAACATGAGCTGGAGAGGGAGAGGGTGAGTGGGTTTATATCTGTATAAGCAAATAATTTACAAGACAAGAGAAGTGTAGTAAAGGATTACACAAACTGAAGAGGTTTTCAAGTTCTGGCTCCAAGTATGTTAGGAGACTTTTCATTTTCTCCGCTATTTATTTTTACTTCACCTAAAATGTCTTGTAATATCTTAAAACTAAGATTTTATAACTTTTTACAGAGAAAAATTGTTTTGGACATTAGAGAGAGGTGCTAACTTGGATCTTCCAAGAAGAGCTAAGTATTTGCAAAGAGAAACATGACTCTAACTTTAGAAGAACAAGGTAATTTCAACAATCCTTGTACGCAAATGTGATTATTGTGAAGATTAGTCGGGCGCATGTGCGTGCGTGCGTGCCCAAGATCCGGAGAGGAGAATGGAGAAGGGATTGTGGCGTGACCATCCTCCCTGGAGAGTGATTTCTCACTTTTTGTCTCTGTCTCTCTCTGTCTGGCAAGCGCACATGCCCAATAGCAAAAAACAAAAATAAACAAACAAAGAAAACCCCAAAAAACAAAAACCTCTTAAAAAAAATAAGATTAGTAAGAAAACACAAATTCCCCAAATGCATTATCTTCTTATGAATATCTCTAATAGTAATAATAGCTTCCAATGGGAATGGGTCAGGCACTGATCTAAGGGCTTTAGATAGATAGACTCTTTGAGGAAGGTATGATAGTAACCCCTATCTTAGGAGTAGAAAGATTGAGACAGGGAAGTTAAGCAAGTCTCACAAACCAAGGCCACACACCTACAACTACCAGATTATAAAGTTCAAGTAATTGTTCGTGAATTTGATGGTAAACAACTCAGAGCTAGGTAGATTTTTGTCTTTTTCACAGTATGATACTCAAACTTCTTTAATTTCAAATTTCTCATCTTCAGAAGGAAGCAATCAGACTTGAGTTGTCCTAATGTCTCTTCTGTTGGGTCAATGGAAAAGTCATGACACAGCTTTGTACAGAAAAACATAGAAAAATATGTCACGACTTTCCTGATGGCCTAAATTAATTTTATGCTTTCTTATTTCTAGAAGTGAGTGTGTAAGGGCCAGTTCTATGGTGTGGCAGTAATGTGCTGCTCAAGAAAAGTCAGATCCCACATGGCAACCCCAGTTTAATCTCTGACATGGTCAGCTTGAAACTCAACAGGGGTGTACATGAATGTCCAAGATCTGACATGCTGGAGGACTGGAGGGAGGGGATCAAAGCATGACCAGATCCTGTGGAAGGTGCTCATCTCTCTCTCTCTCTCTCTCTCTTTCTTACTCTTATATGTATGCACACATACTCTGTATTTAATAAAACTGTAAATTAAAAATAATAATAATCTAGACCCCCAACTACCTCTACGAAACATAGGGATTCTGTGGTTCAGAGAATAAAAGCTCAGTGTGAAGATAGTTCTGCCTCTCTTCCCCAGGCACATTTCTTGTCGTAATAATATTTAAATGTATGTTTGGCAATATATAAGGTGCTTTCCAATGCATTACATAACTGAACCCTCAAATAAGCTAATGGGATAAAGAGAATAGGTAAACTTACTCATATTTTGTTGGGGAAAAATAAAACTGAGAGGATAAGTGACTTGCCTGAAACGCAGGGTTGTCAGAGAGAAAAAGGGGAAGGAGGGTGGGGGAGAAATAAAGAGTGAGTCGGAAAGAGAGAGAAAGTGAGCGAGTGAACTGGGCTATCACTCTTGTGGATGTCAGAGTACCTGTTCCTGTATGTTCGATAATGTTTAAGAGCTTGGTTGGTCTTTGTCATCAGAGATGGCATCAAATTTAAATTCTGTCACGGTCTGTCTTCACTTAAGCAAGATGGCTTCTTTGTAAATTCAGGATGATGTAGCTAGCCGCAGCAGGTTTGGGAAGGATTAAGTATAAACTCATGAATATATTGGCATAGTTAATTCTCAAGGCAGACTAGGTATCATCAGTATTATTAGTGTGTGCAGAATTAGCCTAGAGTAAATAAATACGTAAAATTTATGTTCAGTCCTCTTAAGTAAACCCACTTCTCAGTTATTAAAAAACTATTTACATTATTATTATTATTATTATTTAATTTGATCAGAAAGAGAGAGGGAAAGTGAGAAAGCAAGCCACCAGGTACAGGACTCAAACTGTGGTCAGCCAGGTGGGAATCCAGCATCTTCACTACCACACCACCTGCTGGCCCCAACCCATTTCTCACTCCTGATTATCTTATATAACATTCTCAAGCAGATTTAAAAAAATTTCTTACTTTTTTTTTTTAAGTTCCCCGGGCCGGGGGTGGGGGGGGAGGGAGAGAGGAAGCACCCCCCAAGGGAGAGTGGTCATGTCGCAATCCCTTCTCCACTGTGGAGGGACTAGGGGCACACATGAACATATGCCCAGTGTGGTTTTTTGAGCCTCCAGGCCTGGGATTAAACTGCAGTTGGCCACAAGGAAGCCCAGCTTCCTTAACCATCAGGCAGCAGTGTTAGCTCCACGCACCCGTAAATTTTTCAGAGCTAGATTAAATCTTAGAGATCTGATGTATCCAAACCCAAATGACACTGTGACTTTCTAGGTTGTGTGAACAAGTTCAACTGTGTGAGAATGATCAGGAAAGAAGAAAGGGAGGCTGCATCGCAGCAGTTTGGAGGCAGTAGAGATAATGATGTGCCTTGTTTGGTTCCATTTGAGCCATCTGGAGAAAGGTAGTTCAAGCCCAATATTCTAAACTGGGCAGAACCTGAGGCATTAAGTCATGTCCTCAAAGACAGGCATAACTCTTCAGTTAGGACTGGATTCCAGGACTCCTAACAACTTGTCCACTGTCGTTCCTACGACATCGTGCGGACCTACCCTCCTAGCAGTGTCTCATAAATTAACAAGAGTTTTTAAGTGAACAGATTGTGTACGTTTTAAAGAAATTTTTGAACAGACTTGGGGCTACCAATCATGAATTACACTAAATAAATGATGGTTCAACAGGGTGACTTTAGAAACAGAAACTACACTTCTCAAATCCCACTTCCTACCAGGTAATCCTTTTCCTTAAATGCCAGCAAAATGATCTCAGGTAGAATTTAATTTTTCTTTACTATTTATGCCAGTAAGAAAAAGAAATTCGCCATAGGGACAGGCCTGCACCTAACATCTGTGGGAACTAGGGTAAGTGTAGGAATAAGGCCTGAATGCCACATTTATTCTTCCTTTTTTTAGTTTTCATTTGCTATAGGGTGGCTGTGTTTGTCAGGAAAAGAGAGAGAGAGAGAAAGAGAGAGCTAACACACACCCTGGGGGGTTGTCCATGCAATTATCTCTTTGCCTCCATTCTCCTCTTGGGATTTTGGGCATGAATGCACATGTGACTGGCATGGTTCCCAAGCTGCCAGGTTCAGGCCTCAAACAATGCAGTCGGCCATATGGGATCCAACTGCCTTAACCACCATGCCACCATCTGGGCTGCCACATTTTTAATTAATTAAGTCATAGATGGATTTAACAGGTTCTGTCACTTACCCTGGAAAATGTACTTTTTTAAATCCCTGGACAGCATGGTCCAGGTGAGAATATTTGGATTCTGAGATTCGCTCTGGGCCACATGACAGTTCTTGGTGAGGTGGTCTTAGAAGATCCTTGCTCCCTCTTTCTTACATCAACTCCATCCTGCACTATGAGAGGGCCTATCCTACTGTGGACACCTCAACCCAATTAACCAGACTCTGCTTACCATCATCCCCCACTCCAAGAAAAAAATCCTCAGACCAAAGTGTGGGCTACAGACAGACCAGAGGAATGATAGCCTGGCCCAGGTCCAAGGATCAAACTCATAACTTTTGGACACAGAATGATAGGACCCAAATACCTGGAGTGGTCAAGAAGTGAGGATGGGAAAGATATCACTGATGAGCATGAATCCCTTGGTTTCCTGGCCAAAGAGTCAGGCAGTGAAGACTAGAGTGGAGACTCTTTAAAATATGGAGTACAGGACTGGGTTAGACCGGTGTAGGTCTTTGGGCAGTACTGCAAGCACATCAGAGTGAATGTAACTAATTTGAAGTTATTGTTTAATAAGACCATGGACATCTATTTTTGTCTTGCTCTCTACACTGGCTAAAGAAATTACACTATAGACTACTAACCTTTTGCATGTATCTATGGATCTATGTATCTAACTATTATTTATTCCCAATGAAGTTTTTTTTTTTTGAATGGTTTTTGCCATAGAGCACATGAGTTCATCAGAAAGACAGAGAGAGACAGAGAGATAGAAAGCAAGAAATCACCATCCCCCAGGGGGAATGGCCATGCTGCAAACCCTTCTCTTCCATTCTCCTCTGTAGGTTTTAGGCATGCATGCACATTCGCATGAGTTTAAGCCACCAGGTCAGGACTCGAACTGTGGTCAACTACATGGGAGTCCAGCGACATAGCCATTATGCCAAATGCTGGTCCCACCAGTGAAGTATTTTTATAACTGCTTTTTATGAGCTTTTATTTATTATGCCTTTCAAAAAATTTAAGTCCCCAAAAGGATTTATTTTCAAAACCATATTTTTATTTTTTTACTTAATTATTATTATTTTTTTAGGAGCGGGGTTTACATATATAATCACCTTTTTGCCTCAGTCACTCAAGTAGCTGGGAGTACAGGTATGTACCATCATTTTAGGATTGCCCTGAAATCAAACCCAGGCCTCCATGTGGCCTCAGTCTGCTGAGCATCTAGGTCAACCAGCGTGTGCCACCATGGCTGGGCCCATACTCTATTTCTAGTATAAAACATTATCTCCACTTTTCCACCAGCCTGAATTTTAATGGGAAAGACAGAAATAGTGAGGTAATCGGAAAAAGTTTAATTTTTCTTACTCTGAAGTACGTAAATATATTTGCCTGATGACTCTTGTGCACACGTGAGAGAGAGAGAGAGAGAGAGAGGGAGAGAGAGAAAACACCCCCAGTGAGACCTGATAACACTGCGGTCCCTTTCCCTCTACTTCTCTATCTGATCAGGATCCTGGGCACACATGCACATGCCCAGTATGCTTTTCAAGCCAGGACGGTTGAGGACTTTAACCTCGGTCAGCCATGTGCTTCATCTGCACAGCGTTCAAGCACTGTGCTATAGGGCAGGCCAGCAACTCTGGCAAGTCTGATGGTGAGTTGGCAACATCTGCTAATGTCAGCCCAGGTTCAAGAATATTATTGCTTTGGTCTGTTACAGTTGAGGACAGGGATTTATCAGACATTATGCAATCATGCAGAGAAGGCATGAAGTTTGTTTCCAAAGAAGGTATTTAACAATAACTTTCAAATGATATGCTGTTCATATTTTACGGTAAATCACATATTGAACTTCAAACTTCCACACTGCCTCCTTTCAGAGTTATATTTTCCAAAGTAATACAACCTATATTTCATGTGGCTTTTAAAATAAATGGCCGATTAAAAAAAAAAAAAGGATATGCTCTTATATTCCAGATCATCCTATGAACTCTTGAGGAGACACACTTCTAATTCACTTGTTTAACAGACTCCTACTGAGCAACTGCTATTGGCTAGCATGAGGCTACCTAAGTGCTGGGGAGAGAGAACATGATAAATTCCCCTCTCAGTCTGGTTCTGTGAGGCACTCGTAGATACCTGTTTCCTATAAAACAAGCACAAATCATTACTTAGCCTGTTTGAGAAGCCAAAACCTATTTCCAAAGTAGCTAGCCACTTAGAACAAGGAGGTATTTCTTAAGACTGGCTATAGTCATCTGATAATGCATTAAATGTTTTTGAATATCTCTACAAAAAATATTTATATGATTAAAAAGTAAAAATAAGAAATAGAATAATAAAGAGTAGTACATAACTAATGTGTGTTAGCATAGGTCCAAAACAGAAACAGATCAGCAAAATGACTTTGGCTTTAGATTTCTTGACACTAAAATAATAAACGTGACACTCTTGTTATAAGCTGGTTTCATATTAATACGACCTTTATATCCAAGAAAAGTATGAAGTAAGTTCATGAATATCAGTTCAGGTAGAAAATACTAGACATAGCCATATATTTTCTCTTTTACTCTGAAGTTATGAAATAGCTAATTGGTTTTATGGTTGATTCACAGCGGTGGTCTGTAAAGGAATAGGAGAAGGATCAGGATATGACTGTCTGCATAAGAGCCCATCTAAAGCTGTAAAAAGACAACGGGAAATTCACCTTTCAGAGCAGGTGAGGACTGATCCCTGTGGAATATTTGGATAACACTGGTTTTTTTAACACCCCTGTGTCCTAAACATTACATAAAAATCAAATCACTTTATTTATTTTAAAAAGTCAATGAATCTCAATTTCTAGTTCTAGGACTATAGTAAAAACAATTAGCTAATAAAACCAATCATCAGTTCTTACATGTGGGACAAGTATCTCTCCCTTTTGCCTTTCTTTAGCTTCTATTTCTTTTATTTCTCTTCTCCACATACTATGCAATACCTCAGATGTTTAAGGTACTTTTTATGGTAGTTCACATAGATTTATATTGTCTGTTCTCATTCTAAAGTAGGTACAATTTTTAGACCCATTATAGGATAAACCTGGAATATTTATTTATTTCATAAATAAAGAAAGTGACAAGACTGGCCTTGTGGCCCAGTGTTTAAGGAAGCCGAATCCCACATGGCTGACCTTACAATTCAAATCCCAGACCTGGTGGCTTCAAAATCATGCCAGGCACAGGTGGATGAAGAAATGAGGGAGAGAGATTGTGGTGTAACCATGCACATGGGGGGTGCTTTTTCCCTCTTCCTCTCTCTCTATCTCTCTCTGGCAAGTGCACACACCCTCTGGCAAAATTTAAAAAGAAAAAGAAAAACTAGGAACAGACCATGGGGGCACTGAAACTGTTTCTTAATGATTATAAACGGGCTTAATCTTTAACTGATGTATCCTTTGGTGTTTATTTGTTTCTTTCCCATAGAATGAAAGGTGCCCAATCTCAGACTTAAGTAGAACAAACGGGGGGATATGCATAGCGAGAAATCAGGAAAATAACAGAATTTCAAAATACATAGGCAGACTTGAGGACTTACCTTTCTCTTGGTCACTGAAGACCTGAAACAAATTAGTGAGGTTTTCGGTCTTAGACAGCAGCTCCTGGTATGTCCCCACTTGGGCTGCTCTGCCACTTTCCATGACAACAATAAGGTCTGTCTGTGGCAGGACTGTGAGGTTGTGTGTCACTAAGACACGAGTCTGAAAAACAAAGTGTTTATTTCCCCCGTAGATTACTGAAAAACGATCTATTTTAAAGAAAGCTGCAGTCACTTTGCTTTTGTCTTTATTACTTCAGAGTGTGATTTTTGCTAGGTGCCAGTTTTAAGCATCATCTGTATTTTTCACAATGAATGATGAAGTGCTGCTAAACAAGAAAATTGCTTGCGAAATAGTGATTTTACCCATTTTGTTTAGGCTTTTTTTATTCATTAGAAATGAATCAATTTTATAGTCAATTTAAAATAGTTTTATATCTGTC